TAGTGTTCAGTGATCCGTACTGTATGTTTGTCAGTATGTCACTATAATTTTATATTGCTGTACTACTGGGGTAGCACAGTGTTGAGGAGAGTGTACTGGATTTGGGGCCAGGAAAATTGGGTGCTAGATACTTTCTAACTCTATCACTTAATAGTTGTGTGATTCTTGAGGAAGTCACTTAATGCTCCAAGATTTGGTTTCTCCAACTCTAAAGTGTGAGGGAGGCAGGGATTGTTCTACTTTCTTCTTGGTGCTATTCAGAGGGTCAAATGAGATAATGGCTCTTAAAGTCCTTTATTATCTATAAAGTCCCAGCCACAGTGGGTCACAGTGTTCTTATAAAATTAAGTGTTTGGACAAGATTGAAATTGTGGGCACTCATTATCCAGAGGTCTTTAAACCTAGAGCGTCGTCTAGTCCAGATGGCTTTGCCGTAGACTAAGGGTAGGGAGAATGAAGCAGATCACTTCAAAATGTCATTCTGCCCCAGGATTCTTAGTAGCAGATTCCCTTGGGTCACTGTGTCAGAACAGAACGGTCAGTGTGATGAAGGTTGTTTCCTTCTTTTCTAATTTTTGGATAGTTTTCCCTTCAAATGGAATTGAATTAGACATATAGGGTAGGACATTAGGATGTGAGCAAACACCCGTTCTTGGTTTGACTTTTCCCTAAAAACGTGAGTCCTGTTTTTTGATGTAAGTTGACTTCTTTGGCCCAGCTTCATGTTGTTTCCCTGTTTGTTGAAAGACACTGGAGATATTTATGTCTTGGATGGAATCGATTCCTTAGAGGACAATGCTCACTGATTTGTGATCGCATCAGGCATTGGGCAGATTCTTTCCTTTGTGGATACAGAGATGCCCCAAATGTTCTCTTTGACTTCTCCGGAATGGGAACTATTATTGTCTTGGATATAAATGGTCAGTCTTCCTCCCAGACAGGTGAGAAACCAGGGAACAGGACAGAGGATGGACCTGCAGCTTGGAGATTTTCTGGAGAAAAACTAGCCCAATATTACTGCCACATCCTCTTACAGCACAGCCTCTTTGTGTGACCTTTTAGTGGCCTGAAGAAGCTACTTGGCTGGTGACCATCGGCTCCAAAAGTGAAGTGGGAGTGGGGGAAGGAGAATAGAAGAGAAAAATCGAATTTTACAGTTCAATGGGAAGCAGAACTCTTTTAGCTCACCCTCCCACTGAGTGAGAATCTTGGAGCCCCTCTGGGTTGGCCATGGCCACTCACTCTCTGAATAATAGGCTACCTCCTAACAACCCTGTCCTCGGTCACACCAGATGAGTCTTTGGAAAATGAGCTCTTTTTGTGGTGAAATCTTTCTCTTTAAATTATACTCCCTGATTTGCTGTCACTTTAGAGGATTCTAGGCTAAATCTGTTTTCTTTCATTTCACAGTCCCTGAGTATCTAAAGAAAGTCCTTATGATTTGTGTTATTTTTCCTGTCTGAATGAAATCTCCCTATTTCTTTCAGCCATCCTTACAGAATATGTATTCTAGACACAGAACCCCCTCCTCTTGTACACACTATAATTTTTGAAGCTTCCATTCTCCTATCCTATAGTGTATAGGGCACCCACCTTTTGTCTGATTCCAAGAATGAGAACTATTTCTCACATAGAGAGTTGAGACTTGACTGGTGGTTCTTATGATGGGGTCGCTCACTGAAATGACAAACAGGAACCTTCATTTGTGGCCTCGGATGCCCAGACTGTGCCTGATTAGCCCCTTAGGGGGGCTTCATGTGCAATGCCTGACATTCTTGAGCCCCAAGATCTCATGGAGATCCCTTTCCAAATATTTCAAATATACCCAGCCCTGCTGACCACACCAAGAGAATGAGAATTACCCCTTGTTTTCAACCAGTCATAAATGTTTGCTGGCATCTCTCTACTCCTGAAATGCCAGGCCACGGTGTCTAACTGGTGGCTTGAATGGCACACAGACTTGCTCTGTATCCTCTTTCTGGTTCCTCCAGACAAGAGCAATTACAGGTTCCTCAGCTCCCAGAGCTTTCCATTTTCTTCTGAGTTAATATGGCTCCAGGCTGCAGCAAGGAATTAGCAGACACAGAATACAGAATCTGGCCCCAGAGGCTTATAAAACAGAGAAGGAGACACCAAAGGCTGAAATCACTTCCTTGCATTTCCTTTCATCCTTTCCTGCAGAGTCTGCTTCACCAAAACCACACCCTTCCTGTAAGACCCCCATCTCAGAACCACCGAGGGCTCCTGCATGTATTAGTAGTTACTGAGCAGAGCCCTGGAGGCACCGAACACATACACGACAGCCCCTGCCGGCAGCTTACAGTCCAAGATGGCGCGGCACAGGGTCAGAGTCACTGAGGTCAAGAACGGGAGAGGTGTCAAATTAGCAGTAGTTTACAGGAGAGAAATAGGCTTAGAGAATTAAGTGAAGGGCTCAAAACTCCACAGTGAAGTAATGGCAGGATTAGGGCTGGAATCCAGTTCTCCTGACTTCCAATCCAAAACTCTCTTTAAAATGATATATGTAAAATCATATGTGCCTGACTGTATTTCTACTTCTATACATATGTGTATGCATGGGTGTGCGAAATTTTCATTTGTAGAAAGCTCACATGCTCTAGCTCCCCCACATGCTCTAACCCGATTCTCACAATCACCCCATCTGACAGGTAAGGGAGCCGAGGTTTGCCCACACGAGTAAATGGCAGCAACTGGATTCATAGCCAGGCCTTCTGATTCTAGCTCCCTCCTCTTCCGACTGCATAACATTGTTATTTGATCTCAGTGTCCATTACAGAATCCCTCTTCAGGACCCCCATGGAATGAAATTCTCTTTTACCCTGCCCCCCTCTGACATTCTCAACAAACCCCCTAACACAAATTGTCACTGAGATGGTGACGAGGTGAGGTACAAGAAAGCATAACAGGAGCACAGAGCACATCAGTAGCCAATGGCAGTCACCTCAGTCACTCTGCAGGACAGGTATAGGCAGGAGGGTCCGAGGTGTGCCCAGGTTCAAGCATCGGGAATAATCCTGGAGTAAACAGGGTTGGAGGCCCATGGCCTTGGTTGGTGGGGGAAACAAACTCATAAAATGATGCTACGCTCTGACTACATTTCCTCCTGTTCCATGGTTTTGCATTTATACCATCTTTATTATAATCTTAACAAGCATCTTAGCAACACATTATCTTAAAAATCCGAGAAGACTCTGCTTTGGAAGAACATTTTAGAGATGTTAAAAAGAGAGCAATTGTTTCCTTCATCCCAGCCAGCTAGAGTCCCGAGTTGAGGAAAAAGAAGGCAATGGGTATTTACCACACACCTCCTATGTGGCAGGAACTTTACAGACTACTGTGTTTACTCCTCTCCCCATGAGATGAAGAAACTGAGACTGTATTATAGAAATTATGTAACTTGCTTAAGGACACACAGTCAGCAAATGGCCTGTTAGACTTAGGCATTTGGCTAGTTCCTTCCGTGCAGTACACATGGTTTTCCCAGTGTTGGGCAGGCTCAGCTCCTAATCTCCGGCTCCAGAGGACCCTGAACTATCACAATCACTGCTTGAGGTGTCAGCCCTTCTGCAAGAAGTGACTTTGCAGGTCACTAGTGAATGGCAGTGGAAACTTGAACACACTCATGATCCTCAGAAAATCAGCCCCAGGATGAGAACTTTAGAGCTGGAAGGGACCTTATCAAACATACAGCAACTCTTGAATTTTGCAGATGAGAACACTGAGGCCAAAGAATTAGGATTAACTGATCGGCCAAGGCCAAACGATTTAGTGACTCTGGGACAAAAACTCATTTTCCTGCCTAGGATAAAGTCCAGGAATTCAGCATACTAGTCATGAATGACTGGGAAATAGAAAGAGAAGGGATAAAATACTTGAGTGACTCCTAATACAGGTAGGATTGCGAGGAAAGAAAAGTAGAGGCAATGTACATGTAGCCGGAGAAAAGAGCCAGTGTATGAACCAAAATTGAAAATACAGATCTAGGGTGGGCTAAAGAGACTCAGTAAGTGACTTCCCAGATTGTGTTTTGTTCCCATTGCACATACAGTTGGAAGCCAAATGCAAGCCACCAAGGTTGCAGTGAAACAGCGAACAATTATAGCGCAAATAGTTGTGGGCAGCTGTGGGAGTGCAAGCCACCTGCTCCAAGTTTACAGCTTTGTTAAACTTGGTAAACATTAAAAATGTAATAGGAATGCTCCCAGTCTGTACAGCATCCCATACTCTTCCTGGGAGGCCTTACTTGGGGAGCTGAGGTGGCCTTGTCTTTGACCAGGCTCTTCTCCCTGTGGCCTAGAGCTGCTTTCTTTTGGTGGAGGTCAGGGTTGGCAACAGTCTCTGGTAGAGACAAAGGGAGGTAGGGAGTATGACTGAATCATATATTTTTAGAGTTTGAGGGAATCACAGAGCCCCAGAATATAATGTCTCTCCTAACATTCTGATAAGGAAACTTGAGATCCAAGAGGTGATGTGTCCAAAGTTATAAATTTAGGGGCAGAACAAACTCTTGATCTCTGAACTTTTGACCCTTTGTTCCCATGAGGTTCATAGATGCCAACAACAAGGGAGTTCTAGCATTACCTATTCATTACAGCTGAAAGGGGCAAGGCTCTCAAGTTCCAGGGTTTTCACTTGTCACGTGACTAGGGGGTGCTATTGGCATTTAGTAGACAGGGACCCAGGATGTGAATAAGTAGCTTGAAATGAGATCATCCTTCATAACGAATTGTCTTGCCCAGATAACAAAAAATGCCCTTGTTGAGAAATATTTTTGTCTACCATTTGATTTTACCGTTGAGGGATCTAAGCCTAGAGACAGGGACAGGCTTGACAAGGGTCCCAGAGGGAGTCATCAGTCCCCTGACTCCATCCCACTGAGACCCAGAGTGAAATAGCAACAGGAAAATGACAGCGCTAGATCCTTCCCTTTCCAGTTCCTGCTGCACTTGCTCTTAAGCTATTTCTAGGTCTGCACTTACTTGGACTTGAGCCCCTCCTGTCCATAGGGCTGCAGCAGATACTGGTGCACGAGCTTGTCCCTGAGAGTCCCAGCCAGTTTGATTTTCTTTCTTGATCGGTGCAGGTTGATGATAAAAAGTGTAATAGACCCTCGAACATAGTTGTGGCTGAGATGGAGAAGGAGAAGGGTAAGATGGAAATAAGGTGGTCAGTTAGATGCTGCTAAATAATTCATAGACTGCACCAAACAGGACTGCCCCAGGAAAGGGCACTTATTTTATGATTCTTGACCACCCCTGACCTTCAAAGATAGAAGGCCTTGTTATTGTTTGTGGTTTCTTGCAGAGAAGATACCCGCTTCCCACCACTCTCCTTTCGTTTTTGTTTAAATATATTACAATGACTTTAGAAAACAAAATATCTTTTTCCGAGAATGAAAATAAAACATGATGACTGCATGGGGAAAAAAGGGAAAAATACAGAGAAATACAAAGAAAAAAAATTCTCTTATAATCCAAGTATCTTGAGATATGATAAAATTTTGGTAAACATCCTTCCAGTATTTTTTGTTTATTAATTCAACATTAATTCACATATTTACTGAGTACTTTGACATATACATATATATTTCTCAGTTTTCATCTAATTGAGACCACATTGTTTTTTCAGTTCATGAACATCTTAAACATATTCCCATCTTATTATGTTAGTGTATTTTCTTCTACTTACAGAAGAATGCTAAATTCTTCACTTATATAAATGTACTATAATTTATTTAGTTAACCCCCTACCTTTGGGGACTTACATTTTTTCAAAATTTGCCATAACAAAATTACATATGCTAGTATATAAATTTTTTGCATGTCACCATTATTTCAAATAAAGTCCTGGAAGTTGGACACATTAGGACTAGGGGAAGGCACATGGCATGATTCCTAACCAAATCTTCTGGTTCATTCCCAGTGAAGCCTCTCCTTGTGGGAAGATTTTCTGTCCCTACTCTGTTGAACCCTAGGGATCACACGATTGGTTTTGGCCAATGAAATGGGGATAGATGTGTTCAAATTTCTGTGCAGAAGTTTTATAAGGCAGTCTGTGTTTTGCCATGTCTCTTTTCCCTGTGCCAGAAGACCAACGATGTTCTCAAGAGAGGCTACTCTATTGACCTGCAACCCAGAATGAAGACGATGTGGAGCAGAGCCACAGTTGAGCCATGACAGACAGGTAGTATGCGTGAGAAATACACTTTTTTATCGAAAGCCATGGAGATTTGTTGGTCCTCCATTATCATGGCATAACCTCACCTATCCTGACTGACATTGATGTTAACTGCCTAGAAAGCTTGTACCTATTTGCTCTGTTCAACTACCTACAAGAGCACCCATTTCCTCATACTTTAAGAATAATGGATATTTCCTTTGCCTTTGGGGACATGTCTTGAAAGAAGTCACTTCTTTCAAGACATGTCCCCAAAGGCAAAGGAAACAAAAGTGAAAATGAACTTTTGAGACTTCATCAAGAACAAAAGTTTCTGCACAGCAAAGGAAACAGTCAACAAAACAAAGAGGCAACCCACGGAATGGGAGAAGATATTTGCAAATGACATTACTGACAAAGGGCTGATATCCAAGATCTACAAATAACTCCTCAAACTCAACACACACAAAACAGATAAGCATGTCAAAAAATGGGCAGAAGACATGAATGGACACTTCTCCAAAGACATGCAAATGGCTAAAAGACACATGAAAAAATGTTCATCATCACTAGCCATCAGGGAGATTCAAATCAAAACCACATTGAGATACCACCTTACACCAGTTAGAATGGCCAAAATCAACAAGACAGTAAACAACAAGTGTTGGAGAGGTTGTGGAGAAAGGGGAACCCTCATACACTGTTGGTGGGAATGCAAGTTGGTGCAGCCACTTTGGAAAACAGCGTGGAGATTCCTTAAGGAATTAAAAATAGAACTAACCTATGACCCTGCAATTACACTACTGGGTATTTAACTTAAAGATACTGATGTAGTGAAAAGAAGGGCCATCTGTACCCCAATGCTCATAGCAGCAATGGCCAGAGACACCAAATTGTGCAAAGAACAAAGATGCCCTTCAACGAACAAATGGATAAAGAAGATATGGTTCATATACACTATGGAGTATTATGCCTCCATCAGAAGGGATGAATACCCAACTTTTATATCAACATGGATAGGACTGGAAGAGATTATGCTGAGTGAAATAGTCAAGCAGAGAGAATCAATTATCATATGGTTACACTTAATTGTGGAGCATAAGGAATAACACAGAGGACATTGGGAGATGGAGAGGAGAAGTGAGTTGGGGGAAATTGGAGGGGGAGACAAACCATGAGAGACTGTGGATTCTGAGAAACAAACTGAGGGATTTGGAGGGGAGGCAGTGGTGGGGGTTGGGTAAGCCTGGTGATGGGTATTAAGGAGGGCACGTATTGCATGGAGCACTGGGTGTGGTACATAAACAATGAATTTTGGAACACTGAAAAAAAGAGAAATTAAATTAAATTTAAAACAAAAGTAAAGGATATTAACCTTTTAAAATACGCTTATCAATCTGAGAGGTGATAGTGGGATTTTGTGTTGTATTAATTTGCATTTTTTAAAAAATTCACACTGAGGGGCACATTGTTTTCATTTGCCTGTTTGCCATTTTATCTCTTCTTTTGTGACTGGCTATTCATGTCCTTTGTCCATTTTCTTATTGATTTATAAAAACTATTTATTAAAGATAGTGATCCTTTGTCTACATGTATGTTGCAAAATTTCCCCCAGGTTTCTTTGATCAATTCAGTTTGTTGACATTGTATTCTGATGTATGAAACTTTAAAACTCTTAGATAGCCAAATTTATTGATCTTTTTGATTTCAGCTTTTGCTGTTTTACCTACACCAAGATTATAAAACTATTAGCATTTTGGAATCCTTTTAAACCAGGACAGGATGTTCAGAAGGCTGGAAGAACTATATGCCTACATGCAAGAGCCTTTCAGCATGTATCAACAAAACTATAATGATTTCCTTCTTTCTTGTAGGAAAAAAAGACTTTGTTTCTAAGGGGTCCCCTAGGGCCCCATCTGGATGGGTTAATGAGAGGAAACAGAAGAAATGACCCAGTCCTGCCTTCAAAGGAGGAGTTTAGAGAAACTCTAAGTCAACTTTGCCCAGAGGAAAATATCATTCCTTACAGAAACAGCATCCCTTAGCCTCTGGGTCACTCACCTCTGCTTCTAAAGGTGCTAATTAAGAGTAGAGTGACTAAGGACAGGTCAACATGATAACTTGGGTTGTTTCTGTTTTTTAATAAAACAGTTGCTAGGACTCATCCTGAAGACTTTTATTCCATCTGTTTGTGATGGGAGCTAGGAATGTGTGTGTGTGTTGTGTGTGTGTGTGTGTATAAGTCTTTCTAGGATATCTGGCAGATGAGTTGAGTTTGGGAACCATTTGTCTAGAACAATCCATTAAGGTTAGAAGAAGAATTCCCAAAGTATATTCCATTGACTTTGTGTCAGATAATTTTCCTTACATCTGTAGGAGGGCACATTACTGTGTTCGAAGGCTTTCTGAAGGCCTGCACTGATACTCTGATAAATTATTATATGACTTTTCTCCCTGGTTCCTTCTCTGGTCCTTCTTAATCTTCTGAAGCATGTGAAGTAGTTTTTGGAGCCAGCTGAGTTAGGTCAGAAAAGAATGCCCATTTACTGAGCAGACTTGTGTCACCGGAGCTCAGAAGATGCTGCTAGCCGGCGTCCTGCATTTACTGTCATTAAAAGAACTATATTCCATTGGTGGGCTTTAAGCTTAGCTTTGCTGAGGAAATTGAGTGAAACACGATTAGCTACAGGTACTCTGGGCCTCAGTGTGAGCAAAAGTAGGCATGCCTGGGCACCAGTTTTGCCAGACTGCGGTAAACTCTTTTGCTAACTACCATCAGATAACCTCAAAGGCCATCAGTGGAGGAGGGAGAGCCTCATGCTTGCATTTACGAGTTTTTCCTCTGCAGAGCTGGGGCAGGGTGAGCGGGGTAGACTGAAGAGGAGAAGGGTGGGATTCCGGGAAGTGGTGGGTGGGAGGGAGACCTGAAATCACAACATTGCTGCAGGGAAAGCTGTCTTTTCAAGCTGCTTGGCAATGGTCTGATTTCCATTTACATAGTACCCCTGGGGGAGACAAAGCAGTACTGAAAGCCAGCTCAGAGACCCCTGAGCAGAGGCTTTCACAGATTCCATGGAGCCTCCTCAGGTAGGAACTAGCATTGAAGACTGCCTCAGCCATCCCTTCTGCTTGGCTGAGGGGCAAGGATTTAAGCAGAGGTCATTTGGCTGGGAAAATACATTCTTGGCTGGGGAGTGTAGCACCAACCTGAAAGTACTGTGTCGAGAATCCAGAGTCCTAAAGAATATATATTCTCTGCCCACAGAAAAATAATCTGGAGGAGTATCTATTGCCTTTGAAGATAGGGTCTGTCTGGTGGCTTTTGGTTCTCTTAGTGAATGCCCTTTTCTGCTTGGTAGAACATCTACTTTACCCCATGTCTCACTCATGGTGAGACTTCTTCCTCAGCAGGGAATCCATGCATCTGGAGTTCATCTTTCTGGCTGTTCTTTTGCTGCTTGACATCTTCTCTGTGATGCCATGGGGGTAAGAGGAAGTGAATCAGGGAAGGGAGGCTCAAAGTGGGGTATCCTCAATGTAAGAGGTGGGGGACATCATAGGGAGAGGTGCATTTTGACTTCCAGATAAAAATAGTCACTGTTCTAGAAATGTCTCCAGTGCAGCTGGGAGGCAAGAAAAGGAAAGAGAAGATGGTGCTTTGGAATCCATGGTCATTTCCAGTGAAAGTCCATGTGTTTGAGAACCGGGTTGGTCCATTGATTCCAAATCTAACTCAAAGTTTTTGGGTTCGGTAAAAGTCAGGCCATGTTTTGCCAAACATTTTTTTCCCCTAATTTCAAAGCCCCTGTGTATTTTAAGGGAAATTTAATCCACATGTTTCTGATTCATTTACACTTAACTCATCAAAATATTGTTTTGTAAGAGTCATTTGATGTCCAAGAAGCCTCAGGAACCTTTTTTATGAGCCTTTAAAAAAATTTCTTCTAAAAAACAGGAAGTCATGTTTTGCCAATAATAAACAAACTTGAACCCCAAAAGGCTCAATTTTGCTTCAATATCCACCAGGTTCCAATTGGTTCTGAACTTGGCTTAAGACCTCAGCTCCTCCCCAGAAACATACATTGTTTCAGCGGAATGGTTTATAAAAAAACAAGGTTTCCCAGTCAAAACGTATTTGTTCTCTGAACAAGAAGATCTAAGGTGAGAACTGCCATGTTGCCGGGCTCCTGATCTATTGACTCTAGAACAGAAGGCAGCAGAGCACATGCTGGTATTGGTGTGTGTATGGAACTTTTGATCCTCAATTGATCATAAAATACACCACTCTCCTAGGTCAGAAACAAACCACAATGTAAGAGAGTGCCATGAAAGGCAGTGAGGTATTCAAATAGAGCTTGCAAAACTGACAAGGAGGTTGCAAAAGGAAATTCTGCTGCACAGGACATTGGGCCCAAAGATCTCTGAGGGTTCTTCCCAAGTGTAAAATTCTTTGCATTATTAATGTTGTTATTATTTGCATAGAGGGGTGATACCATAAGACTTCTGGAATTCAGTCTGATAATATAAATGCAGATATCTGGCAAGATGCTCGGCACACAGCAAGTGCCCAGTCTACACTGGAGTGCAGGAGTTGTTTCAATAGACAGTCTCTCTGGATTGTTCTACTGCTAAGTTTATACTTTCTCACCCAATCCCTGTTTTGACCAAGGATATATATTTTCAGAGTATTGGTAAGGAGTGACTAGTGTAAACATGCCTACTCTGGGACATTTCTGTGACCTTGAGTTGTTCACCATGAATAAACCAAGTGAATCAGCAATGCTTCCTCATGACTGTCGTGGAATATGAGGGGCGCAGGCAGGGCACACGGCTTCCCAGGGAAAAGGAGCAGACACACTTGTCCTACCTTTGTGCTTACCTATCTGGGGCATCTGACACCCACAGACATGGAGGAGATCTACAAACCCAGCCATCTCGTGCATCCATCGTGGGCTTACTTTCTAATAGGAACAAAAAGACCTTCCACCCTGTTATTCTCATTACAGCCATATGTGCAAGAGATCACACAAGTCTCGTCTTCCTTTTTTAATGGGGAAGAGGGGCGGTACTGACAGGAGCACAGTGGCACTGTTTCCCCAGAGAGGTTCTGAAATGGATTCCCACAGAAAGCAGAGGAGAGCTGGTGATTAGAGAGAATATTAAATCCAGATGATTTTAGTGACTGGTTTGAGGTTTCCTGCTAGTGAATGGTAGAATTCTTAGCTATTCTAGTACACCACCGTGTTCTGGATGATGTGCTGATATCAAAGGGGAAGAGAGTAAGAACTGTAAATCATCCATGATGTCGTGATGCCCTGTTTCTGCAGGCATTCATTCATTCATTCATTCATCAAACATTTCCTGAGGTCTTCATGCCAGTTTACCATATTAGACACCAAGAATACAAAAATGAATGAGACACTGGCCCTGAGTTCATGGTATATTCAGAATATTAGTGACAACTCCCCACAAGCATGTTAAAGAATGTGAGGATGAGCACTGGGATGAGACTATGTGAGGAGCCCTCTGTGAGGACATGGAAATCCTGCTAAGCCCATGACTACTGACATTTCCCCCCTGGTTCCTCAGACCAATCGCATAAAGGGCACAACTGATGTGTTTCCCAAAGGAGACAAAAGGTGCCAAGGGTAATATTTCTCTCTTGAAGCTGGGGGTCCTCCTTTTGAGTGGTTACCTCAGGGCCAGGGTGGAGACAAGGAGTACAATGTATCCTTGTGTGGTGATCAGATAACTCCAGCCAGAGCCATAAAGCAGTCACTCTCTGTCAGGTATTGGCCTGAGCTTCCTGTTGAGCAAAAGGCACGTTGAAAGCCTCTGGCCTCGGCCCAAACCAGCCTCCTCTCATCCACAATAGGCACTTGTATCTACAGACAAGACAACTGGCCCCTGGCCCCACTATGTTCAGAGTGATTCTTTGAAAAATCTTATCATGATAAATTAATTGACTTGGCTCCTCTCTCATCAAGGAAGGAGAAGGAACGTCTATTGTAACCTGACCACTGGAGCTCTTTGTGCTATCCACTGCCCATGATCAGCCCCTGATAGGCCCACCGGAATAAAGTTCTGGCTGGAGGCACTGGCTTCCTCCTCCCATCCTCCACTGGCATTAAGAGAAAGAGTTCTTTTTCAGAGTTGCCTACTCTGCTCCTTAAACAGGAAGTGATGTAGGAAAGCCAAATATGGTCAGATGGGTTTGGCTTTAGGATCTGTTTTCAGTTTTTACATTCTGATCCTCATGTTTTAAAATTTTATCTGCCTTACTTTATTTATTTACTTATAATTATTTTTCCTGTTTATTTACAGACAACTTCAATGACAACCAGTGCTTCCGATAAAAAAGAGAAGGATAGACACACTGTACCACACTGATTGTCCTAAGTCCAGCCCAGTAAAAAAAAGGAAGCCTAGTCTTTATTTAACCTCCTAAGATTTAAAATAGTCGGAAAGAGTTCTGAAATTCTGAAAATGGTTCTAAAGCTGGCATAACTTCCTTTGGGCTTTCCAGCTTGGGACACACAGGTCTAGGGCTAGGTTTCTAATGGGAGAGCTCTCCAGCATGCACCTTAGAAATGTAGACTTATTTCCTCAAGCTCTGCTGCTGGATCATAGGAACACATTTTGTGTCTCTAGCTTTGGTTCAGGTGTAGGTACACACAAAAAGCCTCATGGGCCTTATCAACTGGAAGAGAGAAAATGTTCAATAAAAATTTGTTGGATGAAGAAGTAAATGAACAAATGGCATGTGTTTTTATGAACTTTTTGTGTATCAATCCTTTGAGAGTGAGAAAATGGTTTTACCTGGGGAAAAAGCTATTTATCAGAGGTCCTTTGAAACCTGCAAAGAGCAGGTATAATGATTCCAGAAGCAGTTTACAGTCAGTGTTTTAGGGGTCCCATATGGTATGGAATTCTAAGAGGGGCCTGAAGCCTGAAGACCCTCAGGAGTGGCTTTCTGTGACGTGTCTCTGAAGACTTACTTGTGGTGGTTTGTGCAGTGAGCATAAATCCTTAGTTTGTCCCGGATCACTCGGCCTGGCCGTGGCTTCCGTTGGAGCCCAGCCACATGCACAGCCAAGACTTTGGGGCCGATCAGGCGCTTGTAAAGGAGAGAGAGCCAGTAGTCCTGAGGAGAATAGAGAGGTGGAGGGTTAGAGAAAGAAGCATGTTGACTGTCATGAGTAAACATATCAATACATAGGCCAGAAACCACTTCTTACCAGGGGTACAGTGAATCATGACTAAAGACACCCTAATCCTGTAAGCATGTCAACTCAATTAAGTGCTTACCTTGGGTTGATAATGAAATGGGCACTGTCTAAAGTGACCTTTTCAACTGACCAAATGAATTTGGGGAAATTTAAGTTGGGTAGACCCAGACAGGCATGCAAAACAAATGAATCAAAGTTTTTCACATACGAAATAATAACCTTTTGGGGCCTTACATTTTCAACTTTCTTTTCCTATGACTTGAATTTGCACTGGTCTATGACTTGTGATTAACTGTAGAGTAGAAGATTTCCGATCTTTAGGATTGTCATCAGTAAAAGAATCCAAATGTCATCCTCCCAGTATTGTCACTAAACACTATTAGTGTGGTGGGAGGGAGATGAAAGTCCTCCAGGCAAGAGACCAGGGTCTTAGATTCCAGAGTCAGAAATGCAAACAGAAGAATGTTTACAAACCATGGTGCTACTTCTTGGTCATCCTCAATAATTCTGAAATAAAAAGAATAATTCTAAACTAAAAGAATGTGATGTTTTTAGCCATTCTGTCATCCATTTGTAACTGATTAATAAATATTCAATCTGTGATCCACACATGTATTTGAACTTACAAAGCCTAATCACTGCCACCTTAATTTCTATGGTATTTGCTATTATCATATTTTGTTTTTATACTTGATACAAGATATATTTTGTATTTGTTTTGTATTTGCTCTTATATCCGATTATGGGGTAATGACTTCAGTGTTTATAACTCCCCATGTAAAAAAGGGCTCCCTAATTTGTTTGGGGGTTTCCTCCCTCCCCATAATTCTGGAATTCCAGAACCATGCCATTCAGTGTGGACATGCTACTCAAGGTCTTAAAGACATCATGCATGTTTTCTCAGTCTTCATCTTTCCAGGCAGAAATCTTTTAATGATCTTCTTCTTCTTTTTTTCCCCCCCTTGTGTGGTCTTCTATAATATCAGCTGCTTAAAAATGTCTGTTGAATTGCATAAATCAGAACAAAGTCTCAAAGTCCCTTTGCTGGCAGAATAGCTCTATGTCTGCCTTGAGTAGTGAGCTATAAGACTTGCTTAACCACCTACCTTAGTTAACTCTAAGTGTCCTCAGAATGGCTGTTAAATATGGTCTCCTAATATTTAAAATGCCAAATATTTTATCACCATCAATCATATAAATGAAAAAAACTCATTGGTTCTATTTGCTCTTATTTCATGACAATTTCTGTATTTTTAATTTGCAGTAAACTTTGTGAAGTGATTATCACAGTCATCCCTGTTTTCAATGGGATATCCACCTTTTTCTTATTGATTTGTAATACATCTTTTAATATTATTGGTAAGAGTCTTTAGAATGTATATTGAACAAATATATTCCATCCAAGTTTGTAGCTTACTTGTTATCAATGTTTATGATTTTTTTGACATGGAAAATTTTTCAAGAAAATTTTAGATAAATATATCCATTTATTTCTTTTTATTTCTTTCACTTCTTTTATTCTTACAAAATCCTTTCTCACACAAAGATCAGATCAATCTTCATTGATATTTCTTCTAGTTCTTTTTATATAATCATTTAAAAGTGTAACCTCTTTGGGGGTGGGAAGTTGGGCCAGCCTAGTGGTGGGTATTGTGGAGGGCACGCATTGCATGGAGCACTGGGTGTGGTGCATAAACAAGGAATTCTAGTACACTGAAAAGCAATTAAAAAAATTTATATAAAAAAAAGTGTAACCTCTTAATTCATTGAAAACTATTAGCTGTATGGTACTAATTATTTTCTAAACTATTTACAACAACTAGCTGTAGAATCATACAGTTGATAACCTATTCTTAAACACATCTTGATCACGTACCAAGTTTTATATATATGTAAAAACATATAAATATATCTATAATATATATTATAACATTATAACATGTAATATAACATATTATATTATCAGTTTTACATCATTTTCGTTATTATAGTTAACATCTTAATATCTAGAGGTTCAAGTTCATTTCATTTATAATTTTTCTTTGTTCAAACTTTCTTTAATTAGTCATATCCATTTATTTTTCCAAATGAACTTTGAAATCTTTTTGTCTTGTTTGTTGTTGCAGAGAAATTTGAGGCTAGTGTGAATTCTTTTCTGTTTGGTTAGCTTATTTATTTTCTATCTTTTGTATTCTGCCAGAATGCTTATAGAAGTCATGTTTTATCCTTGATATTTGAACTTTTATCAGAAATGTGTCAATGTGGTTTTCTGCATTAATTTGCTGATTTGGAGAGTATTTTTGATCAGAAAGACTAAGGCCTGGAGCACCTGGGTGGCTCAGTGGGTTAAAGCCTCTGCCTTCGGCTCGGGTCATGATCCCAGGGTCCTGGGATCAAGCCCCGCTTGGGGCTCTCTGCTCAGCAGGGAGCTTCCTTCTTCCTCTCTCTCTGCCTGCCTCTCTGCCTAATTGTGATCTCTCTCTGTCAAATAAATAAATAAAATCTTTAAAATAAAAGAGACAAAACATCAAATTTCCAAAAAAAAAAAAAGAAAGACTAAGCCCCCCCCCTTTTTTTTTTTAACCTATGAGGATTTTCTTTAAATATAGCTTTGACTTTTTTTCTCTCTGTTTGCTCCACTCATGGTTTTAGGAAGACTCCTAAAACCATTGTTGTGAGCCCTCCATCCTGGGCCTGTGCATCTATCATCACCTTTCTCATCACTTTTTAATCTTCTTGTTTTCCCTCTGCAACAGGACATCTCAAGTTTGTCCTCTACATTTCCTCCAGGATCATTTCTGTCATTTACCAAGTCTAATGAGTATTTTAATTGCTATGAAAATGTTCCTTTCCTTGTAGTCTTGTCTCATTTAGCTTACCTGATTGTCTGGCACTGATTTAAAAATTGTTTTCCATTTTATGTGTACTGTGTATACGTTTTCCATAATGTATGACAAATATTCATAAAAAATATAACTTACATGAGAGTTCTGAAGCATATGAGAACCTGCCACCCACCTGAAAAGCTACCTTAACACCCAGGCAGTGGCATCTTGTTAGGTGATTCTTTCCTTTCCCCATTTTTGTGTTTTCTATTCATATTTTAGTTCATATTTTAGTTTTATCCATACATTTGCTCTTAAGAAATATGTTATTTAATCTGTTAGCTTTATAAAAGTGGTATCATGCTGGATGTCATTTTCTGTGAGTTACTTTTTTTCACTTAACATTATGCTTCTAAGATTTATCCAGGTTGTTATCTGTACTTATTGTTTGTTCATTAACAATATTGTATGATACTTTATTGTGTGAACATGCTACAATTTGTTTATCCATTCTTCTGCTGATAGATATTTGGGTTGTGTCCAGATCTTTGCTGTTATGAACAATGTGACTTTGAATATTCTTTTTTTTTAACAGTAATGACATTTATATTTATAAACATCCATGATACAGCAAAGAAGAGAAAATTATGGTCCTCTTTTCTGATCAGAAAGTAGTGGCTGATATTTATGACTTCTTCCTCATATTATTCATCCACATTCCCTTTGCTTTCACCCAGCAATGCACCAGCTAGCTAGGGTTGTGGTTTTTTTTTTAATTTTTAAATTTTTAAAATTTCTTTTCAGTGTACCAGAATTCATTGTTTATGTACCACACCCAGTGTTCCATGCAGTACATGCCCTCCACAATACCCAGCACCAGGCTCACCCTCCATCCCACCCCTGGCCCCTTCAAAACCCTCAGATTGTTTTTCAGAGTCCATAGTTTCTCATGGTTCATCTCCCCCTCCAGTTTCCTCCAACTCCCTTCTCCTCTCCATCTCCTCATGTCCTCCATGTTATTTCTTATGCTCCACAAATAAGTGAAACCATATGATAATTGACTCTCTCTGCTTGACTTATTTCACTCAGCATAATCTCTTCCAGTCCCGTCCATGTTGCTACAAAAGTTGGGTATTCATCCTTTCTGATGGAGGCATAATACTCCATAGTGCATATGGACCACATCTTCCTTATCCATTCGTCCGTTGTAGGGCGTGTTGGTTCTTTCCACAGTTTGGCGACCATGGCCATTGCTGTTATGAAATTGGGGTACAGATGGCCCTTCTTTTCACTACATCTGTATCTTTGGGGTAATTACCCAATAGTGCAGTTGCAGGGTCATAGGGAAGCTCTATTTTTAATTTCTTGAGGAATCTCCACACTGTTTTCCAAAGTGGCTGTACCAACTTGCATTCCCAACAGTGTAAGAGGGTTCCCCTTTCTCCACATCCTCTCCAACACTTGCTGTTTACTGTCTTGTTAATTTTGGCCATTCTAACTGGTGTAAGGTGGTATCTCAATGTGGTTCCGATTTTAATCTCCCTGATGGCTAGTGATGATGAACATTTTTTTCATGTGTCTTTTAGCCATTTGTGTGTCTTCATTGGAGAAGTGTCTGTTCATGTGTTCTGCCCATTTTTTGGCATGATTATCTGTTTTGTGTGTGTGGAGTTTGAGTTCTTTATAGATCCTGGATATTCTGCCTATTTTTTGACATAATTATATGTTTTGTGTGTGTAGAGTTTGAGGAGTTCTTTATAGATCCTTTTATCTGTACTGTCATTTGCAAATATCTTCTCCCATTCCGTGGGTTGCCTCTTTGTTTTGTTGACAGTTTCCTTTGTTGTCTTATTCCTATTTCCCAAGACACAAGTGAAGAAATCTGGAGAAGCATTGCTCCAACTGTGATTGGAAACCAGCTGCAGCCTCAGCAGCAGGGTGTTTCTCAGAAATACACATTCATAGACTTTATCCCAGACCTACTGAATCAGAATCTCCAGGGGGCGGGGCCCCCAAATTGTGTGGCTTTTTAGGTAATTCTGATGCTCATGAAAGTTAAAGAAGCACTGTTCTACTAGAGTACATACCTA